TCCCCCCTTGGCTCAGAGGAGTGAGGAGCAGAGCAAAGGAGAAAGAGAAGGCACAAAGCCCTTCAAGGTGGTTTGTTTTTTTTTATGCCAGGTAATCCAGACCAACTGTCACATTGTAAGACCAGTTTAAGGTGAAAAAATATTCCCCCTCCCTCCTCTGGAGGAATCTTTCCCTCTTTTTCTTGTGTCCAGCCTTCTCCTTCCCTCCTGCATGTCTGGGACACATGAGAGGGGTGAGTAATTGCCAGGTGGGACAAGCCCAGTGGCCCTTTCCATCCTGTGACCATCAGTCTCCTGCCCCAGGGGACAGTCCCAGGGGTCTGGGGAGGCTTGTCCCCACCCCAAAGTGCCCTTCTAATTCTGAAACATGGACAGTCAACTCTCATGGCCTTTGCCACAGCTGGTCCCTGGCACATGCAGGTCTGTGTTTGGAGGAGACCCCCCCAAAACCTTTTGGCTGGGCTAGCACCAGGGACAGCTGGGTGGGAAGAAAGGTGGATGTAGGGATGGGCACAGAGAAAAATACCAGAGTTAGAGAGTTTCCTCACTGAAACCTGACCCACCTATCAGCCCTTGGAAGACTTTCCATTTGTCTTCTAAACTCTCAGGCCTAAAAGTCATATCATTTGCCCAGCCATAAATAGCTGAGAATTAAACAGACTGTGCTGCTTTTTGGCTAATAGATACGTTGTCTAGTGCTGCAACCTTATCTTCAAATCCCACTGCTGTTTGTATTGGAGATCAGGACCTTAAGCTGACTTTTTCTTTCCAAGATTTAAAGTGCTGGCAGAACATTAATTCAGTTGTGCAACCTCCATTCAGAGGCTCTCAGGTCTTGGCATGGGGCTAATTTTTTGCCCTTTGACAGCTGCTGTAAATCAATACAGCAGCTGGAGGTCACTTGTAGTCAATCAGTAACCAGTCCTGCCAGAGAGGAAAACACTAAATACTTGGTATTAAAACAGGCTTTAAACTGGATGTTCTTGCTCTGGCTGACATTTTCACAGCCTTTAAAATCTGGCTGCATCCAGCCTCATTGGAGGTACCAGCCTGGCCATGATCTTTTCACAGGGAGAATTTCCCAGCACATGCACATGCACAAATTACAGCCAACTGGGGCACGAGGTGTTTCAGGTGGAGGAAGTGGGCCCTGTGGTGCAAGGTGCTCATTTAGTGCCAGCTGAATTAATCCTCCTTTTTTCAGGAAATCATTAGGTATTGGCTGAAGCCATGTATGACCTTCATCACAACCACCTCCCTCAGCAACTGAGACCCATGGCCAGGGGGGAATTCTTGCAGGGGTCCCTAATTTCATTCAAAACAAGTGGAAACTGAGCTCTTTGCTGTCTGAATCATGTTCCAGTGGCGTCATCACTGCTGTTTGCTCCTAGTTCTGGAACTGGTTGCCCAAAAAATCTTCTGCCTGACCTCATCTGGAGCCCCTGCAATGAGAACATGCTCAATTGCTCTTTCCTTTGAGCTCAGCAGCTCTGGGCGTTGTGTGATGTAGGATCTGTGTCTGAGTAATCACCCAGCCAGTTCCTTGTGCCCTGCCAGCTACGTGACACCAGCCCTGGGTGGCACCAGCCCCACGTGCAATCTGTGTGCAGCAGCCACTCACCATCACTTTGCTGCTGCTGCTGTTTGTCCCCTGCTGGCAGAGTGAGTAACCCGTGACTCCTGTTGGGATCCAGGTGCTGATGGTGTCTGTCCAGCTGCAGGGTTTGCACATTCGGGGGTTGCAGTTCTCATCCTCACTCCAGGGTGGGAGTGAGGGAGGTGGGCACCTCATGCTGGTTCAGGGCTGTCAAGTATCCATCAGATCCATCCCTGAGCCCTGGGGAACTTCTGCAGGTCTCAGACCCAGCCAGTGCAGGTGTCAGACCCAGCCAGTGCAGGTCTCAGACCCAGCCAATGCAGGTCTCAGACCCAGCCAGTGCAGGTGTCAGACCCAGCCAATGCAGGTCTGTTCCCAGTTTCTTGGTTCGACTCGATCTTAGGAGGTATTTTCCAACCTCAATGAGTCTATGATTCTGTGCTGCTTCCTGAGCCAGTGTCTTTGGGGAATGCTGTTTTCCTCCAGTCTGCACATGGAGGAAAGCTTTGACATCAGGTCATTTCCACAGTCATGTGGCTTTGGGGGAGGCATCAATGCCCCAGATCTTCCTTGGAGCCTCACACAGGCACTGGTGCACCTTCTGAGCCCACAGCCATGCAGGGAAAGGACTCAGGGAGGCTTTTCCCTTCCTCTCTCCTCTCACACATTTTATATAAACTAAATACTGGCATTTCCTTCCAGCTTTCTGACAGCCTGAGAGAAGGATCCCACAGAGCAAGATGGAACCTGAGCTCATGAGCAACACAGAGGAGCCACATGCACGTGCCCATTAGTCCTGAAAGGTGGAGCAACATCCTTGCACTGGCCCCATGCAGGAGCATCCCCGGGCTGCTGGACTGGTCAGGCTTGAATTTTAGGCTTCTTAAGGGTTTAATAAGAGGCTGAACTAAAATACTGGCTTTGCATGGAGAGCTGAATTCTTCAAGGTCAGAAGGTGGAGAGGCTTGAGGTTGGGGTCAGTCCCATGCCACGGGGAGGTGTGGTGCTCCCAGCACTGCCAGGAACGGGTTTTTTTTCCTGTTGAGCAGGTGAGGGATGCCTGTGGCACTGCTCCTTCTGCCTCAGGGCACCTGTGATGGTTCTGTGCACTGGGGCACAGCCAGGGGCACCCCGAGGGCTCACATGATCCTGTCTGCAGGTTTGGGCAGGAGATCACAAGGCTGTGATGGTTCTGTGCACTGGGGCACAGCCAGGGGCACCCCGAGGGGCTCACATGATCCTGGCTGCAGGTTTGGGCAGGAGATCACGAGAGTGGCTGGGCTGTGTTAGGGAGTTGGGTTGGTCTGTTCAGTGTCCATCTCACCCCACCACGTTGGGAAACTGACCCAGAGTGTCCCCCAGGATCCCCTGTGCAGGAAAACCCTCGCACACCAGCCCTGTGTGTCCCAAGGGGGCTGGCAGACACCTTACACCTTGCACAGCCCTGGCTCTCAGTGCCTCAGAGCACTTGCATGCTGCATCTTTTAAGTGCCCGATGCCTTCCCAGTGGATTCACCAGGAAGGAAAGCCAATAAAGCACTTTTGAGCCAAGGCTTCAGCAATGCACTGTGCTGGCTAGAGCAGCAATGAATCCTCTGCTTTCTGCTCCCAGCTATGTTTGCATCCCAGCTCTTCTGAACAACCAGCTCCATGTCTCCCAAGTCACTCCAACACTCCCGAGTCACTTCAACACTCCCACACTTACAAAATCCTCTAATTTTAGGAATAAAAGGAGCCATACAAACCCTGTCTTTATTAAACCTTCATCCTCCAAAACCTTTTTGTCAGTATGGCAAGAACATGCCACTTCCTTCAGGTTGCTCAAAAAAATGGCAGATGAGGCATGGGTCAGTGGTGGCTGCCACAGCCAGGGATGATCTGGTGGACATGCCAGCTGCTAAATGGTCTCCACAAGAACATACACAAACATTATGGGCCTTTAATTGGAGGTTTTTTTCACATACACTTAGGAAAGGTACAACAAAAACCCAGCAGGTATTTTCTTTGTCAGCAAAGCCTGGTCCAGACTCCTCTCTCTCCCTCCCACGCAGCTTCTTGTGAAATTACCCAAATAACTGGATATTTAGATCCATTCCTGTTGCAGGAACATTTCAGAAATAAACCAAGCCCAAACCACTGGGAGAGGAGCCCAGTTCTCCATCCTGCAGTGGTCTCTACCCAAGGCCTGGCTGCTGGTGCAGAGCTGAGCTCACATCCGACACTGTTTCTCTCACTGAGTTTTCCTCCCTGCAACAACCAAACACTCCACATGTGCAGGCTTTAGGGGGTGCAGATGCCCAACATCTGCCTGTTTAATCTCCTTCCCCAGCCCTTGCCATACCCAGCCCCATCACAGGCCTGCAGCACATCATCCCACTGCCAGCCTTGGCTGCCCTGCAGCAAGCCCGTTAGATGGCACCATGGGGCAGCACTGGCTGCACCCTCCTGCCTCTTTTCCTCCCTTCCTTCTCACCCAGACATGTCTTGACACTTCTACAGCCCCTGAACTGGCCCTTTGTGTAGGGCAGCAAGCTCTAAGCCCTGCTACAGTCACTTGGCTGAGCCCACAAAACAAGGAGCAGGGACAAGGCTCACTGTGCCATGTTTGCCCCTGTTCCCTGCAATCACAGTCCTCAGCAAGGCAGGATGTTTCCATGATCAGCCTTTTCTTTATTTAAGGATTTTGCATAGGCAAATGTTACATTTTTTGGACACACAAATGTTAAAATGATTGATCCTATGCATACTCACCTGCTCCCACCCACAGCCCACGCTGGCTGCCTTAGGGAATTCGTTCATACACCTGTATACAGTGGCCTGGTGGAAGGAAAGAGTATTCTGAGGTTTGGAAGACTCTAAAAAGGTTCTGAAAGGGTGACACTGATAAAAGCCTTTAAATTGTCTGCTTGTGTTTGTGCAGTTCAGATTCAGGAGCTTTGCATCTGCCTAATGCAGTTTGCAGACTGTATCGCACTTTCCCAGGTTGAATTTTGTTCTGACTCCTCTTACTTTACCCTCTCATCTATAAAAGCAGGATTGCTACTGAAAACAAGCAATAAATTGCTGTGTATGCACAAGTGTAAAGGCTTTTCAAAAGCAAGAGAGCTGGCAGCACACTTCTGACCTGGCTTGGACTTTTTGTGATAGACAATATATTGATTGAAACTTAAATAGGGAACAAGGATGTTTGCTGACCTTGTTCTGGTGACAGAAATGTCATTTCAGGGTGAGACTGTGCCTTGAGCTTTTACAGGGACCTGTTGTCCTGGGCATAGGATCAAGAGAGTTTGTCCTTCACTAAGGATTGCAAGATAGGTAGTAGTTGTCATTTAAAAATGAGGTTTTTAAAAGGAAAAAAAAAAGGAAATTTGCAATTAAAAGACGAAAACACATGCTTAGGTTGGTTAAATGTGCACAATTGTAAATACAGATAATAATTTACAGGCTTTTCTCTTGAAATATTAGTCCTGCTGTAAGAGTGACTTATGACGACGAATCAGACTGAAACAGAGACAGATTAAATTTACATTATATATTTCTTAGCTGTGTAGCCCAATAAATGCTATGAATTCTGTCATTTATGATGGAAGCTAGATAAAAATTTTATAATTACCAAAGTGAGTCAACTAGTTAAATGGCACTTCCTATATGGAGAAATTGATTTCAATGCAAGATTAATGGCCTTTTGCTGCTGGTTTACATGCCTGCCAAAGACCAAACTATGTTGTAGCTAAGCATCATTAATGGATTAAAATAGGGGTTCCACATAATTCCTACAGCGTATCTTCAAACAGTGTGTTTAGTTTGGCACTAGCCTAGCACTTGTTAGCCCTACTAACACACGGATCAGGGCAGCTCACACAAGTGAGGGAGGTTAATGCAATCCCAGGAACTCTTTCAAAAGCTCACAGGTTTTCTTGTGGATGACTTCGCGGAGCTTGCGCACGCGCCGGACGCTGGAGGTGCCCACAAAGCTGTCAGGCTGCAGGATGGCCATGCCATTGTGGACATCGCCCATGATGATGAGCTGGCCATCCACTGTGGTCATGTTGGGACACGGGCAGCTCCAGTCCATGTTCAAGAGCGTGATTTCTAGTGGTTCCTTCCCCAGGAATTTTAATCCCATCTTTTCATCCTTGAGAATCTCCTCCACGGTTACCAGGGCATGTCCTGAGTCTTGGTCTTCGGTCAGCTCCGTGATACGGCCCAGGATGACAAAGTCACTTTTGCAGAAGCTGGTCACCAGCTTCTGGCGGGGCTTGCAGGCCTTGCAGTGCGTGTTCTTTGGGAAGGGACACATCTCCTCGCAGGCCTCCCGGCTCTCAAAGTTATTCTCATTGCCTCCACACCCGCCGTAGATAAAGGACTGGCACTGCTTTGTCAAGCTATTGTAGGCCCACCTGGGCTCGTAGGCCTTGCAGTGGCCTTGAAGGGCAGGCAGGTTGCAGATGTTGATGGGGCCATTCATGCACGTTAGCATGCAACTCTCGTAGGTCTCAAAGTGGTTGAGGTTGCTGTTACAGTTCCCATAGATGAAAGTAAAGCAGTTGTTTTTCTTGGCATCGTAGTACCACCTGGTCTGCTCTTCCCCACAGTCTTCACTGTCCGGCTGCTTCAGGCACTCGTCGGTTGGAAAATGTGTTTTGTTCTGGGAAGCTTCCTTGGATGTGGGCTCTCCTCTGATGACTGACAAAGGGAAATCTGCCCGGAGGAGGCCACCACTGTTCTGGGCAGTGCAGGTGTAGATTCCTGCATCCTGCAGCTGCGTGTTGTAGATGACCAGCTGGGCGATGTTGGTGACCACGACGTTCCCTCTGACGTGGTTTGGCTTCATGATGACTTTGTCCTTCCCATCGACCTGCTTCTCCCATGTGATTTCTGGCTTGGGTCTTCCTGAAACGTCGCAGAGGAAGCTGACGGTCTCTCCCACGTAGACAGACTGATGGACAGGGTTGTTCACCAGTGCAGGTGGCAGGATATCAACGACTGTCGTCTCGGAGTAGGCGGTGGTAGGGCGAGCTGTTGTTTCTGGGGGGATAGGGCTGGTGTTTGGCCAGGTAAGGTGGTACCTACAGGTGACCACGTTCAGTGTAATGCCTTTGATGCAGGCCTCTGCATCCATGTAGCACTTGTTGTAGTAGGTGAGCCCGTCAGAGGCACAGGTAAAGCTCGGCTCCTTCTCACATCTGTCCTTGCACTTGCAGACGGGCTGCCCGTCCCAGATGTCGCACTCTGAGCCTTGCTGGATGCACATGAAGCGGTCACAGGTTGCCTCTTTGGGCATCCCCACAGGCCCCTTCTTCCCCTTGATGTCCATGTACCGGGCAGCCACACAGCTCTTGGTTCCACAGACATTGGGGCAGCACTTCTCAAAGGTCTCGCACTCCTGTGGGGAAGGAAAATAACCTGATCATTACTGGGAACAGAGTCAAGGCCTTTTTGGAGACTCAGCAAGCAAAGAGCCCAGAAACTCAGCTCTGCCACAGGTATCCATGGTCTGAAACTCAGTGCCCCAGCTGCCAGTGAGTAGAAACATCCCCTAAGCATTTCCCAGGGGGTTCTGAAGTGCTGAAGAAGACTCTCGAGAAGGAAAATGTATTTCTGTTTGTTAAACACAAACGTCCTCATAAGTCTTTACCCCAGAGTCACATGGATTGCTTGACTATGAACCAACCCACCCCCCTTCCATGCTCTTTGAAATGCCTGAGGACAAGCCCTGAGAAACAAGAGCAGTTGGAAAGTCTTATCATATGGCTGTAGGCAGTAATCCTTCTTATTTTCCACAGAAGTATGTAAAGTATTATTTGAATTCCCTGAGACTAACAGCCAGCTCTTGGAGGTGAAACTGCCAAGGATTTGTAATTGTTCACATTGTAGAGGAAATAATAGAATATCTCAAAAGTAAGGTAATACTTGCTCCAAAAATAATTTTTCTATGGCATTTAGAAAAACAAACCCCAAACAGCTCATTATGGCTTCTCTGTCCTATTTTAGTCTTATTTTCAAATGCAGCATCGCTCTTCTAGTGATTTATTACGCCCCGCCTTGGCTACAGTCAGCTCTAAATTGTGGTTAATTTTAGCAGATTTTTCATCTTCTGTGCAGAAAAGGTATTTGATATGTGTGATCAGGGTTGCTGGGTGGTTATAGATTACTTCAAGGGACCAGGAAAACTGCTACCATGTGCCCAACAGGGCACACTTCCACCATGTGTTAAACCTCTAAAAGCCCCCTAAAATCCATTAGCCTTCTCCATAAGTGAGAACAACATGGTTTTTAAGCTACCAAGCTACAGAGCTTCTCCTGAGTCCAGTATCCTTTCCTTACTGGGAAAAAGATGACCTAATATCAAAACTCGTTCTCCATTTCCAGCTGCACATTACTAGGTTTCAAAAGCAAAGCTAGAAACCAGGATTGTGGAGGTTTTCAGCCGGGGTTAAGGAGTGTGGCTTGGCAGAGTCCTTGGTTGCCTGCAGGACACTCACTCCATCCAAAGTCCCTGTGCTGCCACTAGGCAAAATGAATATTTGTAACCAGTAGCTTCTGGCTTTCAGGCTTTGACCATTAAATTATTAAAACATCCTCGTCTGCTACTGTTGCTGCTGCCGGGGTTTTGAAAGTGTTTCAGTGTTCATTGCTGCACCTGGTAGCTGGAACAGAGGCAGCTTATTTGGGAACGGCATAAGTAAAAAGAGCACCTTCATTCCCAACACATGGGATCCATCTGAGTAAATGTCTTTGTTTACTTATGGCCAGAATTTTTGTCAGTTTTTCCCCCCTTTTTAACACTGCAGAAACAGCCTGGCTACAGAGCACAAACCCAAACACTTTTTTTCAGCACAGCAAATGTTCTGTCAGCCAGGTTTGGGCTGCAGAAGCTTTGTCATGGGACATGATGTAAGAAGTAAGACAAGCAGGTATTTTCAGATGCCAGCTTGAGCTGGCAGTGCTGACAGGTTGAAAAATGAATTTTAGGGTGGTAAGCTAAACACATTTTGAGCTGGGAGCATCCCACAGAACATCTGCCTGGTCATTTTAGCCATGCCCTGTTCTGCCCCCCAAGCAAGCTTTGCACTTCAGATGCAGCAAAGGCTGATGATTTACATGTTAAATTAAACTATTTCATATAGGATTCCTCCCAGGAATGTAAAACATTGATGATGGCCACCGACAACAGAGAGCATAATAACACTGTGAAAATACTGCAATTGGCCCCAGGGCATGCTGAGTTCTGGAGTATCAAATTCAGATATTTCTTTTGACATGAAAACAAGGAAAAGGATCAAAGAGAGTGAGCGCTATACCCACACAAGCAAAAGTGGCAGCTGGCACACACCTCCCCTTTAACTGATAACTCATCAAACCTTTTCTAGGTTATATAGGTCACGGGTAAATTCAACACATGCACTGTCTGCATTGGGTCCTGCCCAGTGGCAGTGCCTTGCAGCTGGGACAGAAGGCTCCCACCAAACACGCCGGGAGCCCCAGCAGCAGCCGTGACGCAGAGACACAAAAATGTGCATCACTCACCAGGTCAGCGTCGCACTCCCTCTTGCAAGTGCTCTGCGCGTCGACCCACAGGTTGGGGTTCATGTCATTGGGGCATATCCCAGCGTGGGAGTAGCGGATTGGAGGCAGGGCTCTCCCCTTCAGAGAGACCTCCAGAAGCAAGAGGACACTGCTCTTCCCTAGCAAGATCCACATCCACCGAGTGAACAGCACCAACAACATCTCAGAATTTCTCCAGGGCAGTGGCAGTGTCCAAGTTGGAAGTAGTTCTTGTTTGCTTGGGTAGCTTTTTTTTTTTTTTTTTTTTTTTGGTAAGCCTTAAGAACCCAGATGCACCTGACTTTGGTAAAAACTTCAGCAAGCTCCTCTGCTGCCTCTGTCGACAGTGCAGTTTGGTCTGGACCTCATTGGATTAAAGGTCCTAGGAAGTCACCCCCTTATTTTAAGAGAAACGCTACTTGTGCGAGCAGAGTTAGCTCTATTTATACCCTGCCTCTGTTAACAAGTCAGAAAAAGTAAACTTGATTTCTTTGACAGGCACACGCTTCCTATGTCCTGGTGGCAGTCAGACAGATTTGTTGCAAGAAAAAAAAGCTGGAAAGAGTTCAAAAGGCTGGAACTGGCATGGTGGGACCCCTGCATGTTTCTGAATGCAGGGAGGCCTTCTTAACCCCTTTAGACCTAAAGTACTTCCCTATGCTAAGAATGGCATTTACTTCTGAAAGGGGACTTGTCTAACTAACACGGACCACAGTCAGGGGATTTCCCCACAGCAAGGGGCTACACAATCACTTGCTAAAAGAAACAAATAATAGGATTGAAGCAATTAAAGCCAGAATATCATATTTTAACAAAGGAAGCAGGGAAGAAATAACTTATTTAAACTTAGGATCAACAAAGCAGAATGTCTTCGTAAGTTCTCCCGGGGCTCCTCCAGGCTTTTTCTTCTCTTTGGTTGGGAGATTTCCATGATGCTAAGTTTAATGCTGCCTTCCAGTCATACCAGGAAGATGTTAAAAGTGTCCCTGAATTCCTCCACATTTCCTGACAGCCAGATCCCATTGTACAGTGGATTGCTGACCCCTTTAACAGCAACAACAAAAAATAGAAGTTCGACTCTATGGAAACCTGCATAAAGGAATGTACAGCATTTTTGCATTGGGGGGTGGGAGAGAAACTCAGTCAAGCTGAGTTCCTCATTCCCTGATTATTACAGCAAGGGGCTGATCCTGCTCATGCTGAACATGTGCCAAAATCCTGAGATAAGTGGCAGAAGTCTGAGTTGCTCAGCATCTTCCAGGATTAGGGCCTCTGGGCTGAGTTTTGGGTTAGCTTGGGTGGATCCTGTGTGTTGCTAAGAGCCTCCTGGGAGAATCAGGTAAGTGTGCATCCCATGTGGGGGCTCTGCAGGGCTGGACCAGCAGTGCTGTGCCTCGGGAGGAGGAAAGGTTGTGCATCCATTGTCCAGGGCTGAGAGCTGCAAAGCCAGTCAGAGTTAGCCCTTACTTTTTTTTCCTTGGGTTTACAAATCCAGCATTTTCATGGCTGAGTTTGGACCTAATTCTCCCCTGAGCAATGATGGCTGCCAACCAGTACAACCAGCAATGAACTGGGTCACCATGGGGCTCCTGCAGAGCAGAGTGACCTGCTGGTGTTTCCCGGGATCACCTCCAGGGGAAAGGGAGGGCAACCTGGAGTCAACCTGCCCCGGGCTGTGGCATTTCTGCAGCAGCCCAGGCTCATAAAAGGGGCTGTTGTAGCTCTGATTTGTGTGCCTGCATTAACCATATGCACAGTTTTGAATTTCATGGGACGTGCAGAGCGAATTGTCCAAATTAGCTATTTAAAAGGAGCAAAGTCAACGGCCAGGCAGCAGTTTGCAGTTGATTTATTCACTCTGAAACTTTAGAAACCTGCATGACACTTGTACAAAGTGTGGCTGTGTGCTAAATGTTTTATTCAGTACTTGTTTACAAACTCAGCACCCTGTGATGCCTAAAAAAGCCAACCAAAAATGACACATTCCCAAGAGGTACTTAAAATTCTTGCAGCTCTATTAACAACAAAATCACATGTATTAGTGGTTCTGTTAACTAAACAAAGACACTTTATATTGTAAAACTGACTACAGATAAGCTTTGAAACCAGCTCTATGTGGGTCTTGACGAGTGCAGGGATACAGGGTGCTGCCTTGTTGACCTCAACAGCCACTGCACATGCAGGGAGTTTTCCCTCAATCCATTGCATTGCCACAGAGTAGCCATGGATGTGATTTTTCCCTGCCAGATTTAATCTTTTATGGCCATTTTACCCCCTTACCTTCTGGGCCAGAGGTGGATCTTACAGCCTCCATCTCCTCTCCTGGTGCCTTACAGCCATGTCCTTGCTAGCTTTGGTGAGTGACAGACACACTAATGTGGGCCACCATAGGTAGAACTCTGTTCCAAACAGGAAAAACCAGCACTATCTTATTTTTAACTGTGCCTGGCCAGGGATCCCTTGCCCAGAGGCACATTTCAGCTGTGGAGAAGCAGAGTGGGGCTCTGAAAAATCAGATACTGGTTTGCATCAGACAGGCAGAGCAGCCTTCTGCTGTGCTATGTCCTTCTCCACCCACAGGGATATTCTCCAGTGACAGGTAAGTCCCACTGCAGCTTTCTGCTTTCGGCTCTGAGGGATCATGTTCCTGGATCTTGGCCACTTGAGCTCAGCCAGGAGAGAGGAAAACATTGCCATAAATCTCCTTGTGAATGTGGGCAGACAGCTCCAGAAGGCAAGAGATGCAGTGAGGGGTCCAAACAACCCTTGACAGCTGCCCTGCTCCTGCCAGGACATCCCAGAGCTGCTGTTGGGCAGCCTGAGGAGCA